AGTGCATCTGCAATAATAAACATTGCAATGCACTCTGCCTGATAGCAACCCTATTCACATCCCTGGCCTAGCTATGGTCAGGGGGATTCACCAGATGCTTAATTCATGTGTGGACCCTCCAAATGGATTTTGGGTGTTCACTGTCATTAATAGACTCCTGCAAACCAGGGGTTCACAGTTTAAGCTCTGACACTATTCCCTCCTTCAGATTTGGATTTTATTAGTTACAAACCCTGGACCACACAGATTGGTGTGCTTCTTCCATGTAGACTTACTTGACGCCTCACTTAGATGAATGCTTGCATGGAGACAAGCCTTTAAGACCCCAGACACTATTTTCTCTGATTCTTATAGTGTCTTGATATTTCTTCCCTATCTATGGTTTAAAACATTAACCTAGAAAATTTCTTGACAAAAAAATTAAAGAAATAAAATAAATATTAACTTGTTTTATAATACTTGGTGTGAATTTCCTCTATTTATATTATGGGGTATTCTTTGCCATTTTTATACCCTATATGAAAAATACATCAATTAAAAGGAATATTTTATCATCTTAAATAGCATAGTGTTTCTATGAACACATATTTAAAATGACTTCATGTTTTATATTCTTCTCTGTATGTATGATAAACTCAAAACTAAACTCACTGCCATCGAGTCAGCCCATAGAGACCCTGTAGGATAGGGTAGAACTGCCTCTGGGGTTTCTGAGTCTGTAACTCATTAGGGGAATAGAAAGCCACGTCTTGTGGTTAGCAGCCCAACACGTAACCAGTAGGCCACCAGGGCACTCCATCGACATTTTACAGTTGGGCTATTCAACCCTGCATAACCCAAACCTTGGCTCCACTGTGAACACTGACCCAGAAGATAGTATTTTTATGGAAGAACGTATTTATATTTCAATGATAACTGAATGAGAAAAGTAAAATTTAAAATATCATTTACAGTGTAAGAGTAAATACATTCTCAAACAAAATTCTAGCACGTGTAAGGGTAATTTACTAGTGTAATGTCGGGTAAGTTAGCCAATAAGCTTCCACAGTATTTCAAGGTGGTAGAGCCCACAGGCTTTGAACTGAGATCTTGGTTTGCATCCCGATTTTACCTGTTGCTAGTCGTGGGGCCTTGGATAAGTTACTTCAGCTTTCAGAAAATCATAGCACCTTCTTTACAGGCTATATGGTAGAATAATAAGGTAATGCAAATCAATCACTGAGCAAAATAACAGGAAAATGTGAAAATATCTGAGCAGTGAGCCATTATTAATAGTGATATTTTCTTCTGAATCACAAAGGATTTCTATGAGGAACTTCTACCAATTGTTATTTGCGACACACACATACACAATGAGATCATGTTCTTTTATGGGCAACCTCCTAAATTTTTAAATTGTGTTTAAAGCTAAACACAAATTTTTATAGTTGAATTCGCCCTCTAGTGGCATACATTATGTGGGAGTATTTGGTATCTGCTAGGTAAAACCTCTTGATGCGATGTCACTGAGTTCGTGCTTAGAACCTGATACACTGTTACGTTGATACACTGTGGTGTGCAGAGCACTTTCGCACAGCTTTAATGAAGCTCACTGTTGTTAATGGATGGAAGATTCTATTACCTTTAAAGATTTTCCGCACATCTGGCCTAAGATTACACTTTAAAGATATGTATCATATCGAATTCCAATAGTCTTATAGTACTGGGTGTAATCTTTCTGTTAAAATGGCATGAGGATGATGTCTGACCCCTCCTCACTTTCTAAGGCAGGTGGAGGATCAAGAGCAACAGCCCAAGGTTGATTCCTATGAGGGAGTTCTACATAACTCCACTCTCCAAACTTTTTACCAATTCTGACTTCAATTGTCTCGCCCATGAAATTTTCTACTTCTCTTTTGGGTTTGATTAATTCATTGTAATGGCCACACAGATCTCAAAAACAACATGTATGATTATTGGACCTTATTATAGAAGTAACTGGCTACAATTCCAGCTCAGAAATGCTCAAGATACAATTCTTTTGATCAAGACAGTTACCCTTCAGTCATGCACAAAGGCAGGTCTCTATCTGACCCACAGCCCCCTCAGCCTGGCCTTTGTCCTGTTCAGGCAAGTGTTACAAAACTCCTTAACGTTGCTGATTAACTAACTAGACGCACCTCATTCCACCAGTAAGCCTTGCTCAAAGGCACTCAGCTCTAGCTCTTATGTGGGTGGGCATAAGAGTTCCCCGAGTGCCTAGAGGTACCCCAATCTACCAGCAAGTCTCCTGCCCAAAGGCACTCAGCTTTTTCAGCTGGGAAGCCCACAGCTCTATCACATGCTGGTCTCTTGATTGTGCTGCTGTATCTCTGCCACAGATTAATCACCACCTCTTGCCTTCAGATGTCAGAGTTGTCTCCTGAATCAAGGAGTTCAAGCACAGGAATCTCAGGTCCAAAGAAGGTGCTCCGCTCCTATCTAATTTCTTGAGGTTAATGAAATCCCCCTTATCCCCTCTGGGATGGCTCATTTTTAGTCTAGTGGAACAGCAAAACTGAGCAGCTTCCATGTGAAGCTGGTCACACCTTCCATGTGAAGGTGGGACCTGCATGGTCCCACCACCACAAGGGTGCCACGTACCTATTTACATTAGTAGCAAGCTATCTGATCCCCTTGGTGGGTCACAAGGTCCTCACATTTGCATAATCTGACCCAGTCAGTTGGTAGAGTGAAAGATTAAGGTGAGAAGAGTCATAGCAAGTTATTTAACTACATTGCCCTTTTCTCTTGGAAAAATTGGGGGTACTTTCTAATTTGCTTTAGACAAGCACTACAAAGAATGCATTCTTCATTCAGCTGACAAATACATACTGTTACTAGGTGCTAGGCGAGGTATATTAGGGATATAATATAAACAATTAATCGTGTAATTCATCATGTAGTTACAATTTTGAAAAGTGCCATAATGAAGCTTAAACTATCATGCGAAGGGAATACCCTGTGTAATAGTATCAAAATAAACCAAATCACTGCAATAGAGTGGATGCCAACTCACAGCAATCCTATTGGACAGAGTAGAACTGCCCCTGTGAGTTTCCGAGACGGTAACTCCTTATGGGAGCCCCATCTTTCTCCCGAGGAGCAGCTGGTGGTGTAAACTACTGGCCTTGGGGTTAGCAGCCTCACACTTATCCACTATGCTACCAGGGCTCCTTCATGCAATAACCTGGGGCAGTGCTAAAGAACATCAGGCATTTGAAAAGCAGGGAGGCTAAAAGTCTAAAGGAGACTCATCAAGCTGGGACTAGTGAAATGAACAGGAATAGGAGACAAGGCCTTAGCATCATGTACATAGTTTGCATTGCTTCCTAGTTGCAATGGGAAAAGGGTTTATGCAGGAGAGCAACAGTCTGATTTGGCAATCTGACTTCATGAAAAAAGGACTCATTTGGTTGTAGCATAGAAAATGCAGACAGGGCAAAAGCATGCCCAAACTAGCGCAGTAACCCAGGTGAGAAAGAATGGGAGCAGAAACAAAGGTGTACTAGTAGAGAAAAAGAAGGGGGCAAATATGCAAACGGTAAAATGAGGTAAGGCGGTGATTGTCCTGGCAGGTGTGACAATACCATTCTTTCAGTAGACGAATGCTGGAGGTCTCCAAATCTGAGGGGGTGGGGGAGATAAAGAGCTCAGCAGGGGGGCCTAGGGTCGTTTTCTCCAAGACTTCGGTGAAATGACAAGAAATGCTCAGCTAGCCCTGGGCAGGAGGGCTGTGAGGCACTGGTCCCAATCCAACAAAGATTCAAAAGGTCCTTCTCTGACTTGTCACACAGAGGCACTCTCACCCAACTGATCCTACGACAAAACAAAACTGCCGTCCGATCGGTGACTTGACTCACAAACTCACTGCTTTCGAGCCGATTCCGACTCACAGCTACCCTAGAGGGTTTTCATGTTTGCAAATTTTTGCTCAACCAGAATGCCTCGTCTTTTTCCCTCTGAGCCGCCGCTGGTGCGTTTGAAAAGGCGACTTTACGATTAGCAGCGCAGCGCCTAACGCACAGCGCCACCAGGGCTCCTCCCATTCCGCCGGGCAATTATTTCTCCTCCAGGCGATCTCGCCAGTAAGCTGTCCGTTTCCAGAGAAAGCATCCACCGAGCGTGCTTCCTCGCTGTCTCCAGCGTCCAACAGGGCCCCGTCACGCACCAGACGCTCCATAACCGGCCACTCAACCGCGTTCACCCACGCAAGTGGAGCTGCGACTCGACTCTCCAGCCGGAGTTGACTCACCGGAAGTGACGCGCGCTCCAGGCCAATGTAGTTCCGGCCCAGAGTGTAGCCCTAAGGGGCGGGCTTCTCTGGCTGCCAAACTCCCCTGCTCTGGAGGACTCACGCGCGGTAAGAAGCCCCGCGCGGCGAAGCGCGGCGGGCGGCCTGGGCACTACGATGCCCTGGTGTCCCCGCGTCTTCCCGGGTCGCCCGTGGGAAGCGCGGGAGGGGGGGATTCGGGAGCTTCCCAGGGCGCCCGCTCCGGGGGGGCCGGGGGGCGGAAGCGCGTCCAGGCTCTGAGCAGCCAACGCGGGCCCTCGCACCTCCGGGGCAGGGTTGATTCCTGCTCTCCGCCTTCGCACGCGTCCAGGGCACGGATGGTCCGCTTCCTGGCGAACAGCCCGGTCCCGACGGGGACAGCCATGAGTCTTCCGCGCCGCGTGTCTACCGTGGCGCGCAGTGCTTCGGGCTAGTTAACCAGGTGGCGCCGCTGTCAGTGTTTCTGATGTTCTGGTTTGCGGGAGCTGAGACTTTGGAGATTGGTGCACGAAATGCCCCCCTAAGTAGGTAGCAGGTCAATCCTTGCAAATCGTTATTTGAAAGCTCCGGGCCGGAAGTAGCATAAACCCTTAAGGCGTTCCCCCCACCCCCACCCCCATGATAACAATGCGCCTGCTCATTCTTTGGGGGTAGAAAGGGATATCCCACGAGCATCTCATTGGGAAACCTTATTCATGAAGTCCTTGCCCTGCAGACTTCCTTTCCTCAAAACTCAACATTTCAATGGCAAAACTGCCCTCTTGGTGTGCAAATTGAACAGGATTCCTTGGGGAAGGGTCCCCAAACCAAACTTCCTGCCATGAGTGACAACGATGACTCAGCGGCCCTAAAGGACTGGGTAGAACTGCCCCCTGGAAGTTTCCGAAATGGGGTAACTCTTTGCTGGAGTAGAAAACCTCCTGTCGGGGCTGTTGGTGGTTTCGAACTGTTGGACTTGCGGTTAGCCGCCCAATGCATAACCACTATGCCAAGTATATGTACCTAGATGGAGGATATGACAACAAACAATAGTTTCACATTTTGATATTTTTGTTTACTAAAAGTCTATGATTTTGTTGCTGACTAAAGGGCCAGTGGTTGGAAGCTTGCAGCCACTCAGCGGGAGAGACATGGCGGTTTACTTCTGCAAAGATTCACAGCCTTGGAAATCCCACAGGCCTGCTCTTCTCCGCCTTACAGGGTCCGAATCATCTCAGCAGGAGGGGGTTGGGGTTGGGTTTTTTGTTGTTGGCGTTGTTTTTTGATAAATGTTTTTGTTTTTCTTCCTGGTGTCATACCATCTCTGCTAAGGGTTCAGTTTACATTACAGGCTTACCTATTTGTAAAAACAAATATAGAAATGGATAGCTACATCTGTCCCCAGGTGGTACAGATCACTTGCTTGACTACTAACTTAAAGTTTGGCTTTTTGAACTCACCCCTTAGCACCGTGGCAGAAAGGTGAGGCAACCGGCTTCCATAAAGATTCACTCACTCGCCCACTCACTGCCGTTGAGTCCGTTCCAACTCATATTGGCCCCACAGGGCGGGGTGGAACTGCCTCTGTTGCTTTCTAAGACTAGATCTTTTGGAAACAGAAGGCCCCACCTTTCTTGGGGAACAGCTGCTCACTTTTAGGGTAGAGTGGCACTGGGGCTCCCAAAGATTACAGCCAAGAAAACCCCACGGGATAGTTCTGAGCACTTGGATCGCCATAAGTACAAATTGACTCAGTGGCAACAGATTTGGTTGTTTGTTGATTTTGGTGTCTCCCTCCAGTAAATAGTGTTTAATAAGTGTAAACTTTGACAGCCGTCCCCTGTGATGTGGCATGTGTCTTGATGACTAATCACCTCTGCTTGTCTCACAGATTGATCAGGTACAGTTTGGGCAACCATGACCAGGTGGGCACGAGTCACGGCCACAGCTAACCGGAGACCTTTGGCGGCAACACCATGGCAGGATATGAAGAAGGGGCCCAAAGACGGAGGAAGTCAAAGCCAAGCCAAGGGGAAATCATTCGAAGCCCATGGACTGCCCCTGAAAAATGACACACTCCAAACAAAACACAAAAGGAACAAAAAGAAAAAAGAGTACTTAAATGAAGATGTGAATGGGTTCATGGACTACCTAAGGCAGAGCTCACAGGTGGCTCACAATGGGGAGAGGGGAGCAGCTGTCAGTGCAGAAATCAGGGAAGACATTGCACTTGCTCTAAAGAAAGACAGTCGGAGGGAAGGAAGAAGATTAAAAAGGCAAACAGCAAAGAAAAATGCAATGGTAAGATCATTACTACTACCATGTTGTTTTAGATGTCTAGAAACTAACACAACTTATGCAACAGATGGATAAAGCATCTTTATAAAAAAGGAGTAGCTACCACTTCCTTTTTTTAATTGTACTCCTGTATGTTCCTCAAGGAGCCCTAGGGCATGGTGGTTCACTGCTGGGCTGCTAACTGCAAGGTTGGCAGTTTGGAACTCCTAGCCACTCCTCAGGAGAAGGATGAGGCTTTCTACTCCCGTAAATGGTTACGATCTGGAAACTCACAGGGGCAGTTCTCCCCTGTCGTGTAGGGTTGCTATGATTTGGAATCGACTCAGTGGTAGTGTGAGTTTTTATATATTCTTCAAAGAAGCCCCGGTAGCATACTGAGTTAAGCGTTGGGCTGCTAATGGCCAGGTTGGTGGTTCAGATCCACCAGCAGCTCTGTGGGAAAAAAGATGAGTCAGTCTGTCTACAGCTATACAAATTTATAGTCTGAGAAAACCTAAGGACAAGTTCTGCTCTGTCCTATAGGGTCATCATGAGTTGGAATTGACTCGATGGCAGTGGACTTGGTTTGAGTATATGTCCCGGAAGAGCTCTGGTGGTCGTGTGCGCTGTATGTTGGACAGCTGAGATTATAGCCAAGAAATCATACGAAGCAATTCTATAAGAGACCGTAGAATTTCCCTTGTAGGTTTCCAAATAGAGAGCCTCATCTTTCTCCTGAGAAGCGGCTCTTAGCTTTGAACTGCTTACCTTTTGGTTAGCAACTCCATATGGAACCCACTACTCTACCAGGCTCCTTTTGTTGGACACAGGAACTGAAATGTATAGTTACGTATAGTTACTTGCCTTTCTGTAGGAGAAGTTCCACTCATCAAGTAAGCGGGGTAACACCTAAGAAACAAGACTTGTCCATTCTACTTCAGTGTTTATTAGAATTACTAAACGTAGAGGACTGCACCGATGCAGGCTTCAAATTGTACAGCCTCTATAAACGTCGCTGTGACCATTTTCAGAACTAGTCCTATACGTTGTCATACTTAGAGATGATTATTTGATGATTCTATTTCAATTTGGATGAGGATAGAGTTGTGCTTGCATTTGAAAATTAATTATAGTTTTAATCAGAGAAGTTAATCTAAAGCCTACAGATAATCCTGCTGACACGGCAATTTGACAAATTGCATGCTAGTTCAAAAGTTTAATAATAAGGTTAAAATTAATTAATTAAATATTTTGTTCTGCCTTGTTTTCCTACTATTTTATAAAGAGTAAGTAGTCCTGGTGCTGCATTGGATTAAGGGTTGGGCTACCAATCACAAGGTCAGCACTTCAGACCCACCAAACCCAAACCAAACTCACTGCCATCGAGTCCATGCCGTGGTGACCCAACAGAGCAGGGTAGAACTGCCCCTGTGCGTTTCCAAGACTGCAACTCTTTATGGGAGTGAAAATCCCCGTCTTTCTCCTGGAGGAGCGGCTGGTGGTTTCAAACTACTGACCTTGAAGCTAGCAGCCCCGCAAGGAACCACTAAGATTTACACTCCTGGAAACGCTAAAGATCAGTTAGCGCTACTGTGCCCTGTGTTGTCACCGTGAATCAGCAGCTGTTGGGTTAACAGAGATGGGTTTGGGTTTGTTGTTTGCTTGTTTGTTTATACCTGGCTGGGACCTACTTCCTTTTTCCCCCCATTCTTTTTTAATCATTTTATTGAGGACTCGTACAACTCTTATCACAATCCATCCATCCATCCATCCATCCATCCATCCATCCATCCATCCATCCATCCATTGTGTCAAGCACATTTGTATATTTGTTGCCATCATCATTTTCAAAACATTTTCTTTCTATTTGAGCCCTTGGTATCAGCTCCTCATTTTCCCCCCTACCTTCCCCACCCTCCCTCATGACCCCGTGATAATTTATAAATTATTATTATTTTTTTCATGTCTTACACTGTCTGATGTCTCCTTTTACCGACTTTTCTGTTGTCTGACCCCCTGGGAAGAGGTTATAGATCATTGTGATTGGTTCCTCCCTTCTTCCCCTTACCCTCCTGGTATGACTATTCTCAATATTGGCCCTGAGGGGTTTATCTGTCCTGGATTCCCTGTGTTTATAGCTCTTATCTGCACCCGTGTACATCCTCTGGTCTAGCCGGATTTGTAAGGTAGAATGGGGTCACAATAGGGTGTGTGCATAGGAAGCCATAAATAACTAGAGGAAAGTTGTGTTTCATCCGTGCTATACTGCACCTGACTGGCTTGTCACCTCCCTGCGACCCTTCTGTAATGGTATGTCCAATTGTCTACAGATGGGCTTTGGGTCTCCACTCTGCACTCCCCCTCATTCACAATGACACAATTTTTTGTTCTGGGTCTTAGATGCTTGATAACTGATCCTATCAATACTTCATGTGTGACACAGGCTGGTGTGCTTCTTCCATGTGGGCTTTGTTGCTTCTGAGCTAGAGGGTCACTTGTTTATCTTCAAGCCTTTAAGACCCCAGATGCTATATCTTTTGATAGCCGGGCACCATCAGCTTTCTTCACCACATTGGCTTATGCACCCGCTTTGTCTTCAGCAGTTGTGTTGGGAAGGTGAGCATCATGGAATGCCAGGTTATTAGAACGAAGTGTTCTTGCATTGAGGGAGTACATTAGTAGCGGCCCAATTTTTATCTGCTACCTTAATACTAAACCTATAACTATATGTACATAGATCTATTTCCCTATTGTCATATATAAATATATTTACATATGTACATGCCTGTATTTAGCCCTCTATAAATGTTCTTTGCCTCCTAGTTCTTTCCTCTATTTTCTTAGGGACCTACTTTCAAGTTGTTTTCTTGGTCGTGTTTTTAATAGCTCATCGTAGCAGTTTTGAGATGTCATCAAATTGATATAGCGATTTACCAGGCACCTCTCTCTCCACAGAAGCACCCACATTAGACTTTAGGATCATGTGCGGCATTTGTGTTTGGTGAGGGTTAGGCTGTGGAGGCCAAGACAGAATTCTCAGGCCAACGGAGAGCACCCTGATCCAGAAGCCCAGGATTCTCCCACTTTCCCCAGTAGCTTCTTTTGCAGTTGTAATATCAGTACATTTTCTTTGTTTGAATCAACTCATTCCAAAGGTAAAAAATCATTCAGGAATTGGAAAACACGGAGCATCATTTTTGTCTCATAAATTATGAAACAGGGCAGTGAGGACATAGTTGCAAAGTGTTGCGTATTTCCATTTTCATGTGTCTGTTTAGAAGCAGGCATATTCTGAAAGATCCAAGAAAGGCAATGTACTTTTTAAATTTCATTTTCTGTATGAAAATATCTCAATCCACTTGGACCCCTAATGGATTCAATTATGCGGACTTTAGAACTACAAATATAACTTTGAGTGAAAATGTTACAGCCGTTGTTTATCATCTGCACCACTACTAATGAAATTGCCCATGTTTGCTTAATTCATGTAAGCAGTCGCCTCCCACAAAGCCGTTCTTGCCCTCGTCTCTGAGATGAATGGCTTGGGAGCCGAGGGTTCCAAAGCACTCTGATGGAAATGGCATTTCTTATTGTTCAGTAATGTGTGAAAGCCTTTTTTCCGTAGATAAGACATTTTTAAAGGGCTGCAGTAGTACCTTCCTGTGGGAAATGTTTTCAAGTGTCTTTTGAGCGTCAGACTCAATGAGCGGTGTAATATTGCAGTGTGGAAACTCACTCTTTTTCTCCCTCCTCCAGGTCTGCTTCCATTGTAGACAACCTGGACATGGGGTTGCAGACTGCCCAGCTGCCCTTGACACTCAGGATACAGGCACTGGAATCTGTTATCGTTGCGGGTCCACAGAGCACGAGATAACTAAGTGCAAGGCTAAAGTGGACATAGCTCTTGGTAGGTTTCTCTTCAGTTGGTGGAGAAAGCGGCTCAGAAGGAGCCCACTGATTATTTTTCTTGACAGCGTTTCTTAGGGGCATGCTGCTTAAGAGTTTGAAATCATAGGAAGTGATCTTTTCGGTTTTGTAAAACATGTACATCTTCTAAGCAAAGTACCTTTACAGTAATGTGAGCAACACAGTTTACCGCACATACACGTCACCTTACGAAGCACTGTTAATCCTCACAGGTGAATTTCCTTTCGCAAAATGTTTCGTGTGTGGGGAGATGGGACACCTGTCCAGATCTTGTCCTGAGAACTCCAAAGGCGTCTATGCTGATGGTGAGTACTGTGACCCTTGGCTGTGCAGACATGCTGAGCCAGCATGTAGCCAGATGAATTTCACCATCTTTATCCCATGTTGATTGTGTGCACTCAACTTCCCTTATAACACACACTGATATTTTATAAATTTTTGTTTTGAAATATAACAGAAGCAGAGGGCTTGTATCTCAATACTAATAGAAGGTGTGAAAACTAATGCTGAGTGTTGAATCACAGCTTAATAGACCATTCTGAAGAGAAGGGCTAGTTCGTACTACTCTTTCAATAATTGAGATACTTTTGTTTCTGGTGTTGTTTTTTCAGTTTTTTGTCTCACAGGGAATCGTGTAGCTTTCGGATCTTTAACTCAGCTAACATCTTAAGATCCTGAAATCAAGTCTGCGATGCTGACAGCTGTAAGGAGAGTCTCATCTGAACATGGGTGTCTGCACACAGGCCAGCATGCCTGTGGCTAGTGCCCCGAGGTGGTTGACCCCGCTCGTCTCATGTGCCGGGTGAAGCCCAGTGAAAAAGCAAAGCTTCCTTTTTTACATCTCTAGCACCACTACCCACTAGCTGTGGGACTTAAGCCCAGGTGCCCAACTTCTCTCATCCTCATTGTCCTCACTCATGAGATGTCACCGATAAAGTCGTATTTCATTGTGCTGAATGAGAGAGGCCAGTCACAGAAGGATAAGGATCATGAGGCCACTATTAGAAAGAATGAAGAAGATGGTTTTACACACGAAGACATGCTCCTGGATGTTTACCAGGGTGCTAGGGGAAGACACGAGCTGAATCAGTATTTCACCCGAAAAATAATTTTTTTCCATATTTTAATCTCTGTGAAATCAGAATCTATCCTCTCGTCAGCCAGTGTTATGTAATTGGCAGGATTTTTTTTTTTTTCATTCTGAGTAGTATATCAACTAACAATACATTTATCACCAGTGGTATCCTGAACTGATGAGTTATGGTATTTTCCTAGAAGAATTACCGTGAAGAGTAAATTGTATTATTTCACTGCCTCTTCCACCGTGCGCTTACTGGTGTATAAAGTGGCAGAGAAGCCAAGGCTTGCGCACAGGTGCCTTCTCGAGGTGAACTTCTGAGATAGACCAGGTGATGTGCTGATGAGAAAGGCAGCCTTGGACTGTGAGTCAATGTTGAGGTTGTTTTAATGACCATTTGACTGAGCACTGTGAGCATAATGGTGGTTAACACTTGCCCCTTAAGCATCTCATACCTGGAGTGGTGCTGGAGTTGAGTTTCTAAGCCTGAAATGGTGCTTACAGGAGGCAGATTGCCATTTTTACGAGGATTAGGATGCCTGACAAAGGCCCCTGGAACGAAAGCTAATGCTCTTGGCTTCCTAAGTGCGAAGGAGCCTTCGTAGCATAGCGTGTCACACATTGGGCTGCCAACAACAAGGACAGTGGTCCTGACCCACCAGGTGCGCCAAGGAAAAAAGATGAGGCTGACTGCCCCTGTAAGTGTTCCCAGTCTTGGAAACCCCTAGGCACAGTTCTCTGTTCCACAGGCTGGATGGTAGTGAGCCCAGTCGGATCGCCCCTTCTGATGTGTGGCAGAGCGATGGCTTCTGACATTTTGGGGAAGCCATTGACTGGTTCACTTGAGATTTTGATGAGATTCTGGACGTTCACTTAGAAGGGCGAGGTTCACAGACCCAGGCTTCTGTGTGTGTCACTGGTGGATGAGTGCCTTCTCCCTGCCTTCTCCTCTGTCTACTCGGCTTCCCCCAAGAAGGCCAAGTGCCAGATGCCGTGGAGAGGTGCAGTTTTGTGCTTTGTGAAATTTAGAAGGATGGCAAATGAACTTCATAGAAGTGATGGCATCCACCTGCGTAGAAAACCAGGGAGGCAACAAACAGCACCCTCTCCTGTTGGCAGTGATGTGGGACCAAACAAAATGTGAGAGTGCCTGGCAACATTCAAAGGCCCATGTAAGCATGAGGTGACTTTCAGTGATTTCATCCCTTAATAGGTGGTGGCTGCAGACTTTGTGGCTCCGTGCAACACTATCAGAAAGACTGCCCAGAAACGAAGAACTCCGGTAAGATTGCTGAGCTCCAGGTAGAAGGGGGGAGGCTAGCGTTTCTCTGCCTTCCCTTCAGGAGAACCTCGGTGGAGGACCGTTGATTGGAAGGCAGCACTGCCAGCAGTCCACACAGGACTGGGTAACTTTTTGAGCATCAACTAGGGTTCTGACTTGGAATAAAAATCCCCAAAGCACGACCATTGAGCCTTTGAATAACCTGATTTTACAAAGTGTTTTATTGCAAATGCTCACTAATGAATTTATGGATCAGTTTCTAATAGAGCTCAGAATTCTGCTCCTTACAGAGAAGTTTCAATACATGGAGAAAAAAATTTTTAATATGAAGGTAGCTTTTTCAATTTGTCTTACGATTGAGGATCCTCAGCTACATATATGTTACTTTGGGTTTACCTAAAGGAGTCAGCGTTGATCTTGAGAACTGCCAACTGGTTTTAAAATGTGTTATCTGAACAGCAGCTGGCCAGTAGTTTTCTTCTGAATGCGATCCGAGCTGCCGGAGTCAGACACGTGATGAATCCCCTGTATGCCTGTGGCAGACGCGGGGACCCGCAGACTTGCTACAGCGCTTTCCCTGAAGTAGAGTGACGATACATCCGTGAGAGAGCTCCTGGGGGGAAACTACATTGCCTTCCATTCCCTGTGGTCACAGTGCCGCACGGTGACTCGCCCGTGCGTTCTTGTTGACTGTCTTGTCTAGGGGAAGGTGGTGCTGACTACCTTGTCGGCAGTGAGATGGAGAGGATGAAGTGGATTTGAATTTTCCCTCCTGGGAGGATTGCCACTTCCCAAGTGACGAGACTGACAAGCAGATGTTGTATAATTTCACAGGTGGAATCTTGTGCATTTAAAACAGAGGCTTCCTCCGACTCGCTGTTTACAGACTCTTGGCATTCATCCACTGTCATGATGAACTCTGGGAATGAACGAAAGCACTTTCTCATCAGTTTGTGCATTGCAAAGCAATTGCTGCGCTTCCCTAATTGGGATGAGAAATTGCCGGTGGCACTCTGAAATCAAGGGTTATAATCAATTACAGAATTGCTCCCTTTCCCTTTGTGCCGGCGTCTCCTCCTGGTGATTATTCATATCAAACGTAGCTCCTCGGTGCCTCCCACGCCCAGGCTAAGTGCCTGGCTTTGGTATTAGTCTGTGTTTCTTTTCTTTTTAAAATTTCTATGTTTCTTACACTCTAGCATTTCTCTTCCCTCGCAGATCGAGCGGTCACGGTTGGTCGCTGGGAAAAGGGAATGAGTGCAGACCATGAAGACGTTTTGGATGCTCCTAAGCTACAGGCACCCAGAACCAGGTTGCCCAAAGTTGTTCATTTCTGAACATGTCTGCTCCCCAGAGGGACTGGGCTTCCTGGGAGGCCCGTGAGATCCGGTCACGGCCAAGCCTCGTTTCCTGGGTTTGGCCAGCCAAGGAGGACCTTCTTCCACAGTTTGGAGAACACCCTGGAAACAGTCCTCGATGTTTACATGAACTTCCCCAAAACTCAACGAACACACGGCACCTGGGTATAACTCGGCTGTACGTACCTGATTAACAATCCTCTTTCTTAAAAACAATCTCGCATTAATGCAAACCACTGTAAACAAAAGGTCTCTTTGCCTTTGAAGATCAACTTTTCTCATACTGTTTTCTTCAAAGTGGAAATCTTATTATTACAATAGAAATGTATTTAAAATGGCCACAAAATTGCTGTATTTTTACAATACAGAATAAAAGCCATTTACCTGGCTGTGTCTGAGTACTAACTTCTGCGCTGCACGAGTCCTTGTCCTCCAGTGTGCACGTACCTTCCCTTTGAGAACATCTTTGAGCGCTTGGGAAGCATCTTAGCGAGGACACAGAAGGGTTTAGTTAAGTTTTGTTTGCCTTCTGGCATAAAGAATTAGGGTTTTTCAGAGTGAATTTGAAGGCACTTCAGTATAACATTAACTCCAGAGAAATTCTTACCAAAGGTCTTTGTGACAGTGTTGCTGCCCTATTGCCACTCTTACGCTGGTTATCTTTACCACGTGAATTTTCTCAGGGTTTCGGAGGCTGGAGGTGTGAGGTCAGGGCACTGCCTCTTGGGCAAGGCTCTTTCTCTGCTGGTTGGGGGGTGGGGGGACACAGCCCTTGCCTCTTAACTTTCCTGCCCCGCAGTCCATGACTCCTTGGTGAGCACTCCCCAGTGTGGACTTTGGCAGTGTCACATCTGCTCTTTTTAGAGTTCAGAAGTGATTAAACTTAGGACACACCCTCGCTGATGTGGCTCCTTAGCATAACCCTTTCCTCACCTGGGATGGGACAGCTCTTGAGAGAAATGCACGTGGCAAATAATGAGATTTCCCCACAAACTTTGGAACCCCAATGTACACGGGAGAAAGATGAGGCTCTCTACCCCCGCAAAGAGGTGCAGCCCAGACACCCACAGGTGCAGTTCTGTTCTGTCTCCCAGGGCTGCTCTGAGCCGGAATCCACTTGTCGCCAGTGAGTGAGTGAGAGAGAGAGAGAGAGAGACTGAGTACAGGCATGGGGGGTAGGATTCTTACATATTTGAGGACGACAAGAGGGTCACAATTCAATCTGATTCCCGAGATCCAGTTGGGACCATTTACTCAGAACAATGGTACAAAACATTGTCAAACTCACCCGCATTTTGATGGCATGTTTTAGATGCGTCCGGGTGAGATGGAAGCTTCACCATAATAGAGTTAGAACACTAATCAGAGACCCATTAGCTGCTTTGTTTGATTTGATGAATACATGCATACTTAATACATATACTTTAGAAGGCTCAACACCACCATTGTACTGTATAATGGGCTGACTCTGGTGGATTGTGTGCTTCATTTGGAATTTTACCTGATTGGATACATTTGTAACTGAAGGAAGCAGCTGTGATTAGTTACTGATGCCTTGAAAGCAAAATATTTACCCAATATGCAAGGAAACACTTCTCTGTTTTAATGTCTACACGACTCCACAGTTGTGCTCTTAATATGAGCTGTTCTTTTCCTGTCAGTGTGAGAGGAAAACGGTGACGAAATCGCGAGCAGCATCGCTGAGCTGAAGGAAATGAGTGTTGTTTGGAAGTTGCACCGTTCATGCAGCTGGAGGATGGCAATGCTGTATCCTAAATGCCTCATGTACTTCGCCTACCCTGTCAGCTGCCCCCAAGCCAAAACTGCCATCAAGTAGATCCCGACTCCTAGCGACCCTGTAGGACAGAGTAGAACTGCCCCGCCCCCTACGTTTCTGAGGTCTTGACGGGAATAGGAAGTCTCCTCTTTCTCTAGCACAATGACTGGTGGTTTCAAACTGCTGACCTTGTGGTCAGCAGACCAATTCATAACCCACTAGGCCATCCAGGCTCCTACCAGACACAGGGTAGTGTCAGTAGTGTACTCAGCTATGAACTGAGAGGTTGGAGGTTTGAGTCCACCAGACAGACCTCAGTAGCAAGATCTGGTGATCTATGTAGAGTGCTAATGAGTGTCCTCTCAGGTGCCTCTAGTTTCTAGTATCCATTGCAATGGCTATGGAGAACCTCAGGACAAAATTCATGATTCAAGGATGGCAACCAGTTGTAATGCCAGTGAGAAATGCTCTGGGTAGTTGTTTACCAGAGTGTGACAAAATTTCAGGTCTACTAGTAAATGCCCAAAGGCCTATACCACTCTGCTATAAACCTTAACCCCATGCTCCTTGGCTCAGCAAACCCAGCTCCCTGAATTAAGTGTTCAAAGGCACCCCATTCTAGGAAGCCTCAGCCCAAAGCCACCCAGCTTGACCCCCGTGGATCAGCAAGAACAGCTTCCCCAATTAAGTGCCCAGAGGCACCCCACTCTGCAAGCCAGCCTCCTGAATAAAAGCGCTCAACTTGCTCTGTGGGTTGGGAAATATATCACTCTGTCCCATGCTCTGGCTCCTGGTTCTGCTGCTGCTCCTCGGATGTCACAGCTGTCCTCTGGATCCAGGAGGTTCACTGCACTGGCATCTCCCACTCCTGGGCCTTGCTGGTAATGAGATCCCTCCTGCTTCTCAGAGGGCTCCTTTGATACACAGCAGAATGGGGCTTAGGGAATCCTCGTCACCATTACTTCCAGATTAATCCTAACATTATCTTCCCCCCACCTACTTACCAGACCCCTGCAGGGAAGGGTCTTTGGTGGGAGTTAAGAGACTGGCTAGAAGAGTCACATTAAATAATCCACTGCCCTGCAATCTACTTCCAAAAGAGTCAGCCATTGCCAGCCTGGTGTGGCAGGTGTACTCTGTGACACGGGGCCACTGTGAGTGGAAGTGAACTTGATGGCACCATACAACAACAAAGGATTGTCTGTCTCTCCCAATGACAGTGCAAGGTTCATGAAAGCCAAGATTTTTGTCTTCTATTCGTTCCTGGATTTCCAGAGTCTGGTAACTTGTCTGGTACAAACTAAGAATTCCATAATTTTTCTTTGAACACAATACCCAAGTTCCCCCAGCTCAGCAATAAAGTCTAAGAGCGTCAGACTTATTAATATCTTCATTCTTAACAAGATTTTATAACACTTTAGCTTTGGCATCTCTCAACTTAGATGCACTTGCTAGTCTCAGATTAGACATTTTCCCCCTTAAATATATTTCTTTCCGTTATTAGTATACCTGACAGTCTGTTTGCTTACCATTTTCCTTGCATCTTAGACATCATGCTCCTTTTCTCCCAAAAGTACAATATTTAGAAATGTTGCTCATAAAGAGCTATTGGTGGTAAATTCTGCTTTGTTTCCCTGCTGCCAGCTTGGTTTTGTCCTCCTTCTGTGAAGGGCTTTCAGTGGGCACGCCCTTCTGAGTCGACAATTAGTTTCCTTAGCACATTCAAGATAGGGTGCCACTGTCTCCTGGCTGATGGCGCTGCTATTGTGAACTTTCACATTGTTCTACCTTTGCAGGTCAGGCCCTTTCTCTCTGAATGCTTTTACATTTCTATTTGGGATTTCTTCATTACACTGTGATATCTAGTTGTGTGTGTCTTTTTATTCAACATCATTGAGGGACATTAAACTTGAATCCTAAAACAGAAAAAAAAATCATCAACACTGCTGGAGAATTCTGGGTCATTGCTTCTCAGAATATTGCTTCTTTCTTATTCTATTACCTATTTGTATGACTCGGTACTCAGTAACTGACTTTTCTTTATACTGCCATCTCTGTGTCTATAAGGAGCCTGGTCATGGTGTTGTGGTTAAGCATTCTGCTTTGAACCAAAAGATTTGGAGCCCCAGCCTTGCTGCAGCAGCAGCATGTGCTGTCTGCTTGTAGAGGAGCCTGAGTTACGATCCACAACAACCAGCTTACGTATCTTCCTGCTCTGGTTGTAAGGGCTCATTTGGCTCTCTCTTCCAAACCACTGGTTCAGTCTTTGACTTACCACTGAGAAGCAAGTTTTTATTGTACACTGGGAGGGGGTACATTTCAAATCATCTTTGCATTCGATGTTTGAAACCCTCCAGTAGTCCATGGACACCCCACCCCCATCCCCGTGGACCATCATTGTCCATTTCACCCAAGTCAACACCAGTTAACAATCTAGCCCATTACCCCATTACCCCTCTCCTGCCCTTCACCCCTTGGCAACCTCCAAAGTCTGTTCAATTTGGGTGAGAGCCTGTTTCTTGATTTCCCCTCTAGATCAGTGATCTTTTGTGATTGGCTAAGTTCACTCAGCCTGATGCTCTCCAGGTGCATCTGTGTCGTAAGGTGCGTCATGGTATCATCCTTGTTTGTTGGCGATGCACAGTACGGTATTCCACTGGGTGAATGTACCAAAGTTTGTCGGTCTGTTCTTCTACTGATGGGCATGAGATTGTTTCCATCTTCTTGCTGTTGGGAACAGGGCTACAATGAGCATGGGTGGGCATGCCATTACATTTTCATTTTAGTTATATCATTTGATGCTAGACATTTTAGTTGGTTGCTTTTCAAATCTGTTGAGTCCATAATTATAGTACATCACAGAAGGAATTAGGGCCAGAAGGGCCATATTAATTGACTATAACTCAGTCATTGCTAAATAATTTGTTGCAAGTAGGGGCTGGTTCACTGGTTTCAAAGTGAATGCAATTTTACATAATACACAAGGGTCTGATCAGGTCTGATCCGTCAGGGAGGGTGCAACAAAGAGTCGGAAATCCTTATAAAGATACGGCATTTCGTAACTGCAGGAATTAGGGGATATTCATATACACATCACTGATTTTGCTCCTCTGGACAACTCAGACTCACTAAAACAACATATTTAAAGAGATCAAGAGGAAAATTAAAATTTGAGCATGCAACAGGAGATAACTATAAAGAAAAAAAACAGGAACAAAATACTCAACGGACTTGAAAAGTAGCCAATTCCATGTCTAGACTTAAATTATATAATAACTAAAATTAAAACTCAATGGTATGCCCACCCATGATAATTGCAGCACTGTCCCAATAGCAAGAAGATGCAAATAGCCGGGGCATCTGAATTACGGTGCTTGGGAAGAATGTTGAAAGTACCAGGGACTGCCGAAAGAACAAACTGTCTTGGAAGAAGTATAAGAATGCTCCTTAGAATCAAGGATGGTAAGACTTCATCTCATGTACTTTGGATATGTTACCAGGAAAGCTAGTCCCTGGAGAAGGATATCATGTTTCATTACATGGAGGGGCCATGAAAAGAGAACGTTCTCATTAAGATGGATTGACCCAGTGACAGCCGCAGTGGACTCAAAG